AGAGAGAGAGGAGAAGGAGAGAGAGAGAGATCCTCAAATTCATAGTACCAAGGGATGTGAGGTGCACTCCCAAGAAACCAACAGAGGTAAAGAAAAGAAGGCAAAACATGTTGGGCATGTTTGTTTCGTGGTAGAGACGCGTCTTTCACAAAGTTTAGAAAACTGGCATTTTCATAGGTGACCATGGAAGTGGCAGCCCCCCTAAAGACGTCAATTGATGTTGGGACAATGGAAGGCGGCTTCCATGAAACAAGCGCAAATACTTGCATCTGCAAACCCTCTATCCCGTCTTTAACATGTAATGCCATCTTAATACATTTCCAGATTGAAACATCAGTGAGCCCACATTTCCCCCCATCAAAATCACATGGTGGACAAAAGCTAGCACAAGAGTTCGCAAATAATATAATTCAGGACACATGTTAATTCAAATGAGCTAGTCCTAATCATAATGTGAAGACCACCTTAAAACCTGTCACAGTTGAGGGGAAAAAAAATATTAGAAGCAAAGATCGAATTAGCAGCAGGTGGCGAAGGAGAACTGTGATCAAATCGTCAGAAAGGTATGAAATGGCACCTGCCTTCATCTACCCCTCCAGAATGCCCAAAGACAGGGTAAGTAGGATGAGTTGAAGAAAGCATTAGCAATATCGGACTCCCTCTGTGGGGTTGCGTCCTTGAGCGCCAAAACTTGAGCACGTGTAGGCTCTCCTCTTCTGTCGACCTTTGCAAAATTATCCGAGATTCATAGCCCTTTTCTCTCATCATGAGGCAAATCTCTAGATGGTTGTTAGCAGAAAGGGTAACCAAATAGAACCGACCTCGGATTGACAAAAGGTGTTAGACCACCAACAATATGCAGTCTATGACTCTTCGTCCATGCTCCCCTCCCGCCCAAGGGGCAGCTATTCCATGACATCCAACCTCTTCCTCAGGGTCAGGATGTAAGGAGGGTTCACCACCATCACGTCCACCATCCCCACCAACCACCTATCCAAATCGGATGCGATGTCGGTGCACACTATCTCGGCAACCAATCTCCATGCACAAATTTGGCCTGAGCTCTACAAGGTTTGCTCTATCTGTTAGAAGGGCATCAAACCATGCAAATGAGTCATCACAAGGTTCATAGACCTCTGGGTTTGAAGCCACAAGTCGGATTTGAGCACATCTAGATGAGTTCCCAGAAAAGACCTGTAAACGGTTTCATTCATAAGGTGTGAGAGTAGTTTCAGATGGGGAAAGCAAGCAACAATCATCTCCATATGACACATGCACCCAAAAAATACACAATTCTAAAACTTGCCTCATGAGAGAGAGAGAGAGAGAGAGAGAGAGAGCACGGACACACCAGTATGATTGGAAAGCAATCATGGTAATCAAGGCACCACCCTTGCAAAAGGGTGCTTTACTTGCCTCATTTGTTCATGTTCAAACCCATATACAATAAAGAAAATGAGAATGCTGGTCCGACCAGATCACATTGTCAGGATTTCTTATTTGGGGGGATGATAAGAATTTACAAAGAAAATTTAGACCAATGGGTCGTGGCCACTTCAGGGCCGTTGTCAGCTAATCTGGACAAAGTTTAGTATAAAAAATAGAAGTAAAGAAAATACAAAAAAGAAAGACCATACAACACCCTTGCAGGTAAGAAAGAACATACCAAATCTAGATGACTGCATCATCTAGATGTTTGCCTTTCCTGTGGCATGTACTGTTTTGTTAGGAACAATACAACTGTCATCTTTCTAAGAAAGTATACCACACTTTGGTTGGCACTAGCCCAAATCTAGTGAGACTAACATGGCACACTAGTTAAATAATTTGAATACTGATTTTATAAGAACTTCTAAAAAGAGTTACTTCAATGATTGCAGGGAAACATACCGACACATTGTTCTCTTCATCATTTTCCTTTGTCATGGAAGGATTGGCAGTAGTTACAGGTCCTATTTCTATACTGTGGTCCATTACAATTCTCCAACTTTCTGATAATATATCACATGACAAAGCCGATAGGATTGGAGCTCAGTTTGCAAATGTCGTCTGGGCAAAGCGTAAGTATGTGCAAGTGCTGCACATATACAAGCAACTTTTAATGATCATTATGCACACAGACATGCACTAGAGAAGACATCCTCTGGATAACGAAACCACAATGGAGCAACTGATCCAGAAGGGTTTTAGCAACATTGACAAATCCATATGCAAGTCAATGCCAAATACACATCTATCTTTCTTGTCATGCTTAAAATAAAATGATAACCTGGAAATTCATGCGCCATATTCATGCGCCATATGAGAGGTGCAACAAACAATTTATCTGGTGAGCTTACTAAGCTTTCTGGCTATCCTCCAAATATGAGAATATAACAGTAGTAAACATCTTTATCAAAAGGCAAAAATAAAGTAGCAGATATTCTAATGGCTCCTGGAACAAGTCTTTATAGATAATTGATGGACAAACGATTAGCAGTGAGCAGTAAGCAGTACAACACTTCTCTACAGGTTGGCTTTTATATCGTGGTCACACAATTTTCGTTTATTTATTACTAGCAATTGGCGTGTGCTACATATGTTGTAGTAATGGATAAATTAGTTTTAAAAGGACTTCATCGGCATGGAGAGAGAGATAATTGATGGACAAACGATTAGCAATGAGCAGTAAGCAATAAGCAGTACAACACTCCTCTACAGGTTGGCCTTTATATCATGGTCACACAAAATTTCGTTTATTTATTACTAGCAATTGGTGTGTGCTACATATGTTCTAGAAATGGATAAATTAGTTTTAAAAGAACATCATCGGCATGGAGAGAGAGACATATTATTGCATTTCAAACTGTTTGCCAACTGAAAGGATACTTACAACTACACTCTGTGCAACACCAACCAGTCTAAGGTCAAATTTCACTATCTTTAGAGTCGTAAATTTATGAAAATTTAACATTTCCTCTCTCTCCAGAAAAGTATACATGATATACGCAACCACAAAGTATGTAGTCAACTTGGCATCAATTGGTCCAATCAATGTTCTGCTGGTCACAAACACTGGGGTGCACAACTAACGTGATACTCTCTTCCTATCTCAGGTTTCATACTACCAATTCTATTGTCCATTAGAGCATGCATAGAAAAGCCTAACAATCAAATGTTCCTCAAACAATTATCAAGGACAAAATGTGACTTGCTTGAAACTACATTAAAAATCGCAATATGAAAGTCTCAGAACATTAAGGAATAAAGATCTCACTCAAAATCCTAAATAACCCTAATGCCACCACCATACAGCTAATTACCTACACCAACTCAAAGATAAGACATAATGCACCAAATCCAAGCAAAGCTTATTTTATTTTTTATTTTTCCACGTGTTAACATTTGTATTAAGTGTGAGTAGAGGTACAAAAACAGAAAGTAAGGCAGCCTGCAGATTGGGTGCTCAGTGAAAAAAATGAAATTTAGACCAAAAAAGAGCTATACATCCAAAAAATGTGGCAATGCCTTAGATACGACAAAAAAGAAAATAAAGCTTGAAAGATCGTTAGCTCAAAAGGGTGCCAAAAAGGTCCAAGGCTGTCAGGTACTGAGTTGGCCTTGCACCATCTATGTTTCCATAAGATATACATCGGCCTAAGAATGTGGAATATTTCGTAAAAAATATGTTTAAGTCTCCACGGGCAGGATGAGGCCCTTGAGACCCAGGAAATGAAATTTATGGAAATCCCCATAACCAAGGCATGGTTCCCATCACGGTTAAAGTTTTTAAGCCCTTCAAGGAGGGCAAGAGCATCCGTCCTTATCTCTAAAGACAGCCCCCACTCCTACTGGGCCGGGTTGCTGAGGAAGCAACCGTCACAATTTAGCTTAGTTTGGCCCATAGTTGTTGGGTATGGGAACGGGAACGGTTCCCGGATCAGGGGTGGGATCGGCGGATCAGAGCTA